AATGCCGTGAATCGGCGGAAATTCCTACGCACGCCCTGCGGCCAGTCGCGTTATCACGTAGGACGGCTGAGGTCAAAGCCGACACCTAGGTGATAGCATACGGTACGTTCGTTATCGCGTAATTATCGTGCTGAAAATGAACGGGAAAGAGGGATAAGGTGAGCGAGTGAGAGGAAGGGAGGGGGATTCGCGGGGTTATTATCAGAAATAATTCGCCGGCCACCTCTTTCCCCTTTCCTCGACGGAACCCATTATAACTGACGCAAACCTTCCTCGGTCGCCGCGGTCGAATCTCTTCGCTTCATCGTTATTATTAAGCGACGTGGCGGTGTCGTCGCAATACCGGAGCCATCGCGGAAATTGTTTATCGATGCTATTATATTTCCAGAGATTTTTTTCCTCTCTCCATCTCCATTTGACCGTTATTCGCGTGGTAAAAGACGCTCTGTTCCTGTGTTAAAATCGGTTCTTGTTAAAAATCTCGTATTAAATTCTCAACACGGCCGCTAATGTGATCGTGTTATTTGAAGATTTTATGTTGAATTGACACTCAACATTCTTTTACGTTGAAGTAACACAACTTTATGTATAAGTATAGTTTTGACATAAATATTATGTAGTTTAATTTTTCCTCGGTAACATCGGTCAAATGAACATATTTTATATGTTAAATGTCACATAGAGATGTCGCTGTCTTCTACCCTCTGCCGGCATAAGTGACGTTGCGTCAGATCATGCTGCACATGTGAATTATGAGATCATATTTTGCAAAACAATGAGAAGTATGCTTCTTGCAACCAACGGTAACATGTTATACTTAGCACTAGAGTTGCTATATCGTGGGACGCGGGATATTAATACCACGTACGCATAATATATTCGTGTAATCGAAAAAATGTAAGAATAACATTTTCTTTCTCTCACTTCTTAACATATTTACTTAAATCAACGCAAAGATCTAGATGGGCCGTTCGGACCATGCATGTTAAATTCAACACGACATTTTTTACACTGTGCAATGTAATACCTCGGTTCGTGGACTTTGCGCGATCACCCTCGCGAGGCGTTGCCATCGGACGGTCAATTAAAACGAATTTGTCGACCCGTTACACCCGTAACGTCCGGCTGTCCTCTCCTCTATCGACGGAGGTCGCACGAAGATCGGACGATCGAGGTGTATTTTTCGAGCGAATCGAACGAGGATTGACGGACGTTTATGTCGCGAGGTGGGGATAATTATGCCTCGGGTTGAAGTCGCCTTTGTACGCCTGGATCCTCTTTATAAAGGAAACCGGATATTGCATTTGCGGGGCTGCGATTGGCGGCCCGGGTACGCAGCAACGTTTCGCACAATTGGGACTTTGTAATTATTGTTTCCGGCTAAATGCGTATATAGAGGTAAAATTTAATTAACGGCGCATCCGTGATCTGCGAAAAACTACGGGAAATGTCGCTCGGTGCCAGCCAGAATGCGCGAGCCGCGAGAGGAACCGGGGATTCGGAATCGTAGCTTTAGCAGAAACGCAATATTTGATTAAAATCAAATGCAACATTTGATTAAAATCAAATTGATAATTAACGGCGATTTTTCTTACCGCACGCATTCAGCCTTAATGTTTTATTGTATTATCACTAACTCTTCATTAATTTGCCATGGTAGTAATGCAAGATCCAATTTACATAGAGTACGTTCTGAAACAAAATTAAGATGAAAATTTGATACATGATTTTAAAAGTGTAAATAGCACTGAGCTTCTTCACAATCGTTCAAGAAATCAAGCATGGTCCATTTCTTTTTCTTTAAAGGTATTCATTGGCGAGCTTAACCTGTAAGGAATAAGTAAAAACTAATCGCAATTGTTCAAATTTTTGTGTTGAATATTTAACGTATCCATGTATTAATTTAACACATTTTGTTTATATTATTTCAATATATTTTGCGTTGACTCGATATTCAATACATATAAGTATTGAAATGATATGTTTTTACGCTTACGGTGCCGATTGCCGTATTAATTTTATGTTCATTTCTCACATAACATATATGTTACTTTTCAACGTATTCATTTTATCTGAAATAAACACAAAAATTTGTGTGGCCCGTTTGGGATGTGTGTGAAACGCGTCAAATTCAAGGCGAAATTCTCCGCTGTGTACATTTTCCCCGAGTCAAAACGAGAACGACAACAGCAACAACAAGAAGAAAGCTGCGCTCGACGACTCAATGTGGCGTGAGTAACATCTTGCGAAGCCAATAATGACACTATTACATAATAAGCACTATTATCCCCGTGTTTCGCGATGCGACGTAAACGTCCATCAATCTGCCGTGCCGCGGCTCACTCGAAAACACACGGCCGACTCGCTCGGATTTTCGCTGCAATAACAGTAATCCTCTCGTAGGCCGTGCGCGCGCGAGTCTATCTTGCCGACGCCTCGTAAAAACGGTCTGAAAAATCCGGCCCGATACTCGCGCTATTACACGGGGGGAGGCTTATCCCCCCGGGGGCATTATGATTGATGTAATATAATGCCTGCGAAATTGATCGGAAATTGCGCGCGCGCATATTCACACGCAATCGTTCAACAATTACAACCAGTTTTGATCTCTCGGAAATAGCGGAGAGCGAAGAGCGGAGGCGCGCGCGTAAGGGATATTCGCGTAAGGGCGTGCGCCGCCGGCCCTCACGGGCGTGATACGCTGCGAAATAAAAGAAGCCATGTGGGCTTCTTGTAATACGTCGACGTCGAACGTTAATGTAGCTGTCGCTCACAGGTGAACGGCGCGCGCTAGACAAGTCGCGGATTGAAAAATAAGACGAAGCCCCGCGCTCCCGACGCGAAGATTACGATGCTATTTTTCCTTCCCTTTCCTCTTGTTTTTTTTCTTCTTTTATCGTGTCGATCGAACGGCGAGGAAAAAGCGTTTTCCGAGGCGGCCTATCCCGTCCGCAGAACAGCGAGGTGAACGCTGTGTGAACGGGGATATTTTAATTCGCCAAGTTCCGATTTCAGAGGGGGAGAAAGGGGAAAGAAGCAGCGGTGTTTCGTCGGAATGCACGCGAAGCCCCTCTTATCGCCGGGAACGATCGCGTTACACGGCGCATGTAACGCGTATAATGCCGCTCAACAATGTGAGCGTGTGTTTCACATAATAAATAAATCAACGAGGTAATCGCCGCGCACCTTTGCACGTGCGCGCCTCGCGTTCCCCGGCGCTTGCCTCTCTCGCTCGCAAATCCGATATTCACCGCTACGAAATGCGAGTAATTGAATAGCATTGTGAGAAATGTCACAAGTTTGCGAACAAGCGGCTGTAGCGAAACCTTTCGCGCGAAGAAGCGTGCGATTGTCGCGCATTCGGCCAGCATTGTTCGTGCGATACGATTTAAATCGCGCGATCGGCGGCTCATTGAGAAATCAATCGAGCGAAGTGCACAAATTTATAATTAAGCTTAACCCTTTCGTGCCCCGGAGAAATTTCAGTCTGTTACGAGTGAAATTAAAATTAGTATTGTTATATGGGTTCTCGAGAGGTCGCTGATTACAATTTTAAAATTATAGTTGCCGAATTCGAGATATTAAAGAAGACGGATACTAAGGGAGAAATTTCGTCATATTTGGGTATAAATTGCTTATACAGGGTTTTCGAGGTCGATTGCAGCCAGTGCTTCGCATGAAGTTCTTCGACTCGAATAAACTGAGCCCATGATTCAATTTAGCCACACTTTTTCATTTACGAATAAATACTGATATAAAAGGGGTTATTAAAATTAAAGCACATTGGCTTTTTCGATCGTAAAGTCCATATCTTCCTCTCACCAATGAACTATTATCACTCATTGCCTTCATAATTATATTTTCATTTTTCTGGTGAAGACGAACTATTTTATTAATAATCGTATTCAAACTATATGTTTCGCAATTTTTTATTAGTAATAAGTAATCCCCCTTATTAATTCGAACCGCTAGTTTATTATTATATGTTGATATTTGCGAAACTTATGATTTTTTTTGTAATCGGTACATATACGGTACATATATATCGGAGGCACGAAAAGGTTAAGTCGATGTATCCAAAAAGTGTGACGATAATATGATAAAATGCATACGAAACGGAATAAAAGGAGGTTTGAAGTTCGCTCGAGTTTTAGATTATTCGACCTTCTTTCTCCGTTCGCCCATTCTTATCTCACGTAAAGCACCTTTTAAGAAAAACCAATGAGCTGCGGTAAGAAAGCGCTACTTACAGCGCTACTGCGCATTTCAATATAACTCGTCCGAGCGATATATAAAAAATCCGCGAGAACGGTGTTTAATTTAATCGCAGAAGACGCCGATGTTGCGCGCATTTATAAAATTGCGCATGAAATCACGAGCGCGTAATTACATCGCATCGGTATGCATTATTAATACACGCTCGCGATATCAGCCGTATTTGATATCTTCGTGGAAACAGCCGCGGGGAATGTAAATAAGCACGCTCTCGTCGGAGGCGCTCCGTGCACGCTCCGAAAATAATCGATCTTCGCGGATTTTGCCATGGAAAATTCCAAAAGCGCGCGGAAATAGGACGCAATTCGTCGATTGCGCTAATTGGACCGGCTGTCGCTGCGAGAAAACGGATCGCGAATATTTCACAATCGCGAATAATTTCATCCTTCCTCGTGGATAATTATTTTTTTTCCAACTCAAAAATGCGCATGGTAATCAAGACGCGACATGCAAGCGTGCATTTCAACGCGTAATTATCTTCGCGAGGAAAATCATTCAACGATGAATCATATAACGACGCTTCAAATTTCCTTATCGATAAATCTCCCCTCCCTTTAAGATCCCCCTCCCTCGGACTTGCTTTATACACTTATACTTGTTTTATAGTAAGAATATAAATGTGCGAGATGTGTAACATCGCCGTGACGACCGGTTCAACTTTTCGACGCGGCAATTTGTGAAGAAAATGATTTTTCCCTCTCTCTCTCTCGAACTTTCTCTCTTACCTGACAAAGGCTGCTACTCCCGGAGTTTCCACGTGACCGAGGCTCGTGCTTCGCGGACAGCTGCGGGCGTGACACTGCTTTTCCTCGATATTGCCTCGCACTGTGAGACGCACTATTGACGCCCACTCGCGTGGATCGCGCGACTTAAAGCGCCGAGCATCGACTGCGTCTTACAACGACGACGAGCAAACTTGGAGAATCGAGAGCTCGAAAGAGAAACGCCGATTCGCGCGAGGCAGCCGCGAGGAGAACCGTTCTCTCTCTCTCTCTCTCTCTTTCTCACTCTATCTCTCTCTCTCTCTCTGTTACTCTCTCTTTCTCTTGTTCCTCTATCTCTTTCTCGCCGCTTCGCTTCCTCCTTACCGGCGTTATCGCGATTACGCGAGACGCGACTTTGCGCTGAATCCTTTTAGAGATCTGCCGCTCTCGAGATGCACCGTGTACCCGCGATCGGTCGTCGACCTCGCGGAGTCCCCTCTCGGAGGGTTCACGGAGGACCTCGACCTTCGCTCTGCTGCTGGCGACAACGTTTGTGAAAAATGTTCCGCTGAAAATGTCTCGCCGATCGCTCGGTTCCGGCCGACCTGTGGGAAAACGACGAGGTGCGTCTTCGTTATCTGTTTGCAAAACGACACGCAACAATGATCAGAGAAAGAGGAATTTTCCTTTGAGGAGCGCGGATAATACTCAAGGTTTCCGATTATTTTTTTCTTTTTTAATGCGAAGGTAAACGCAATTTTTTACGAGTCTCAAGCAAATTAAGAAATTACATTACGACTCGTAATGAATCACGCGCGTGGTTTTAATTTCGACACGAAATGCTCTCTGAAAAATCCCCCTTCTTTTATTAAATCTGGAATAATGTAATAATTCATTAGACCGCAGACATTAGACATTAGAAATTGTTTCTCTCGTACGAGGTATTTTTTTATAATCTCTCAATATATGTGAATGTACATAAATAATGTGTAACAATGACGTGATATACCGATATGACACGTAGCGTTCCTTCCGGATGAACAGGTCAGAGGTCAATTAACAAGATGGACAGCCAGAGCGGGAAAAGGCGTGACAAACGTGCGCGTGGACGGTAGCACTGGCGAGAAGAAACTGAAACCTAGAAAGCAACGGTGACACTCGCTTTCCTTAGACGACCACAGCCCGCTCGTATATACTTACGTGTATGCCTCGTAGTCGTATCTCCCCCTCCTGAAGCATTAGTCATATTATAGCATCAAGGTTTTACAGGCCTTGTGCATTAGTTTATAGCCAGGCTACACTTCGATCGAAACGCGGTACTCTATGATACCACGCCAAGATTTTTTCATTCGAGAGAACGACATAATTTCGCAAAAAAAACCGGAAGAGGATACATCACATGAGCGTTGCGATAATTTTTCTCACGATTTTAAAATCTACTTTTCAAATTTCTCGGATCAGATTTTACTCAATAAATAGAACGACAGCTGACTCTGATTTCAGACTTTTCACTATGCAGTGAATTTTTCATTCTGAGGATCGTGAATGAATATCTTCGCTCGAAACTGAAGAGTGAATCTGATGTGTTCCACCGTCACAGAAATAAATTCATTCCGATCGATTGAAATATTCACTCGTATGGAGTGAGAATTCACTCTAGGCTCGAGTGAAACATTCACTCTTGCACTGTTAGAAAAATATTAAATTTAATGATTTGATTGTGAAGTGTTTTTACATAACTAAGTTGAAATTAATGGCCAAATTAATGTTACATTTAATAACACATAGTTGTGAAAAGATAATCTGAATCCACTTTTCACAATGATATAACAATTTAGAATATGAAATTTAGTAAGTGAAGTATCAGTGAAATGCATCACAATTGATATATTTCATTAGTATTCACAACTAATGTTTTATATATCCTTATTAAATCTTATGTCATACATATATTATTACATATACATATATTACATATACATATATTAACAATCATACTATGCATTATTAAATATTAGAACAACTATCATGTTATAATATATCATAAGTGAATATGAAAACTAAGTGACAAATTATGTAATATAAGACGGGAAAAAATATTAAATTTTACATTTGTTCTTTAATTTTATAATAAATATGAATTGAATGAAATTTATGAATATCATAAATTTTAATATAACATTCTTAAATTTACTAATAGAAACATGTTATTATTTTTAAGAATTTTTTACGATCTCATTATACGAACATCGTGCGATTTCGAGAGCGGCAGTATTTGTACTATCGCTTCGTGTGAAAATATTGCCACTTTTTACCAATTTTGAATGAGATTTCCCTGCACGAAACTTAGAGAGTAAATTATCGCAAAAAATCCCTCATAAATCTCGAAGGTATCTACGATCCCTTTCACCTCTTCTAGCTTCTTCTCATGCTCCTTAATCCGATAATTCACATTCTAAGCCCGTAATTAAATATCCAAATCCCCCTTAATCCGACAATCAAATATCCATAAAGTCTCGAATTCGTCCGAACATGAGAAATCGCTCAGAAATTCTCCAAGCGCCTGCGTCTTCGTGCACGAAAGAGATCTGATAAAAAACTCGGGACCCTCTCCTGAATGGATACACGAGCTGGTCGGCAGAGTCGAGCCGGAGACTGACATTGCTCGACGATCGATTCAAAACGGTGACGATAATTAGGCTCGTCAATGACAAGCACGATGATTGACAAGGTCCTGTTGCGCAAGAATCCCTGTCCATCAACGTGAAACACTCAGCCGCGCCGGTGCCGCGACTCCTTTCATTGACACACTCGCGCGGCGCGGCAAAACGCGCTGAAGCCGGCAATGGCGTAGGGAGACGTCACACGGCGTCATGAAACCGCCAAAGTTACGACGCACCTCCGTACTCCGCCGCCTTGACCCTGGATTTCTCTCTTCTTTTTTTCTTCCCCTTTTCTGCAAAGATAAAGATTACCTTATACGCTTTCATGACTCCCTCTCCGCTCCTTCCCCTCGGCTTCGCCGATAGTCCGATGACTTCGAGAGTGAGTCTTCACCTCGCGGCTGCGAATGATGACTACGCTACTTGCCGCGCGACACAAGCGAATATTACTGTGTGCTGCACAGCCTATTATTTTCCGTACGGACTGGAGACCCGTACGAATTACATATTACTTGTACCATTAAGTCTCGATAAAATGTGCACTTTTATAAGTTCATCGCGACCGAAACCGTGAGTGATTGCGTTTATTTCTGACACTACCGAGAAATCTACACGAATAGCGTTCCCCTCCTCAGTAGCATCTGCGGATGCCCGCATTTCTCGAGATTTATCGACTGAGATATCGACGGTTAATGGTCTATTAATTTCTTCATCCATTACTCATCTGCATGCTAATCAACCTATTTTGCGGAATTAATTGGTCTTTAAATATCAATGAAATCACACTTCACGTCGACGTTATCCGTTCTTATATCGTTTTTCACGTTTAACTCGTTTCGCAACCACCGGATTGTCGTCGGCTCGGTAAATTGCTTCACCGAGAGCCATTAAAATGTCACGTGAGTGCACTGAGATGCATAATAATAATGTATATAATATCTTATTAAAACTTGTCTTCCGAATCGAAATTTTGGCTCTACATTGAACCTTTAATTCTACAATACAATAAAAATGAATGAACTAAAATAGCAAAATAAGTTCTATTCCAATAATACCATTTATTCCTATTTTGATCATGATGAGCTTAAATTTCCATTTTCGCTGCTTTTAACGTAGAAATAGGTTGTCTTGCAGTAGGATCTTAGATATTAAAAGTTTAAGGAAGAAGTTAACAAATGTGATCTCGTCAAAATAAATTTTTATTTTAACCAAAGAAAAAATTGAAAGGTCATATGTATCGTATGTTCTGATTAGCCAGCGTACATAAAAAATCTTCCGGCCAGCGTACATAAAAAATCTTTTTAACGGCCAACGCATTCTTTTATTCCCAATTAATAGAGGAGAAGGTAATATTATGGCTCCTTTTAATATATTTCCACTATTAAGTGGCAAATTCTGATTATTTATAGAATCATTACTTATAAATACATTTTAGCATTTAATGATACATACTTCCTCATTTTTCTTAAACTTGATATATATATATATATATTATTGTACGAATAGACTTACATTTGCGTATTCTGTTCGTTATTTAGCATTTCATTCACTAGCATTTTGCTAATGTGGCTTTCTAAGAGACTGATAATACGACCTCATTTCCAAGGTTTTCATATTGAAGTAGCTATTCGATAAATCGATTCAATCTATAGCTCACTGCTGCACTTCTGTTCACAATGCTGTCCTTCTAACAGATTGCATCATCTGAAAAGTAAGTCAGTATCTACATTAAAAAATTGTAATTATATTCAACGTTATTTCTCTTAAGAGTTTATTTTGAATAAATATATAATTTTGTAATAAAATATTCTGTGTTATTTAAGCAAATTTTTCTAATTCATTTTAATTCGAGGCCACATTATCACTCTGTTTCTCTTTAACCTGTTACCCGGGGAAAAAAATTATATATAATTATATATGTCCCGACGAAATAGAAATATTGTTGAATGAGAAGCAGAAAAAATATTTTGATTGAATTAAGTGTTTACGTCAGTTATAAATATAAGCATTTACTTCAATTATATTCGTATAACAGTATTAATATAGAACACATATATAATTATATATGATTATATACAGACATATATAAACAAAATTCATATATAATAATTTTTTCCCGGGCATGCAGTGTTGCTATATTTTTTTATAAATAAGATTCTAAACAATAAATATCTCATAACTTTAAATATAAAATCGATTGAACAACACTTTAACGAACGTAATCGTTCGGTTCTCAACTTAAAATATTGATTGTTGACCAAGTTACTGTACAAAATGTAAATGGGGAGCCGTAATATCACCTTCATCTTTATATAATTCCCCAATTAACCCCGAAATTATTTCAAATTTATTCTAAGTGTTGCGAAAAATACTGTTTCGGCCAGAAGTCAAATCTTCCTTGATGAACTATAAAAGAAACGATCCTTGAGAGCGTTAAAGAAGCATCGACCAAAATTTCGACTCGACTACTCTCTCCGGAGGAAGGGAGAGAGAGAGAGAGAGAGAGAGAGAGAGAGATTAAATCTGAGATTAAAATTGCTTCTCCTTTGCCCGCTCGAAGTTCGCGGCATTCTGCGCGTCAGTCTTTATACATTCGAAACTTTCTCGCGAGCTCGGCTAGAATTATACTCCCAAATATCGGACCAGCGCCACCTTGAAGAGTGCTTCTTCCGTTCGGCCGTGCTTGACCTATACTCAGCCGGGTCTACAGCCTCCGTCGCGTATTCTCCTCTTCCCCCTGCTTCTCCTCCTTCTCCTCCTCCTTCGCCTGTCTCTCGTTGTTTTCCACGGACGAGGGAACTTTATCGTCGCGCATAATCGTAAATCGTTGCTTAATGTGATTAAAAATGCGCGGCGACACGGCGCGATTGACGCCGTGCGCTTTCCGAGAATAATATCGGATTATGGCATCTCAGGATTAAAGGACGAATCCGTGGATCGTTAGCGCGTACGATAATAAACCGCGCGACTCCGCCGTCCCGTTCTCATCGTTTCCACACCGCTTCGCGGCGGCACGATCGCAATTATCGCAATACGTCTGTACGTATGAAATTCGCATACCGCGCGCACCACAGGGGCGACCGGCTCTCTCGCGGCGATTAATCCACCTGGCGTCCCGGCGAAATTTAATCGCGCTGATATCAGCGCTAACGGGACGGAATCGATTGGCATTCATAGCGGTGCCGAATTTTAATGAAATCCTCCTCTGCCGCCATTAGCATGCTTCTTTTTTTCTTTCCTCCCTCCTACCCTCCCCGCGTCGAGTGCAAATCAAGCACCGTTAGTCTTTTTCTCCAGTCGGATCTCCCAGCCGTGTTTGATCATTATTCTCCGCTGACGACACCGGCTCATTCGGAAGATTCGCGCTGGAACCACGGCGTATTTAAAAATTCCGCTCGCGGGGCGACCGATCGATCAATCTCGCGTGATCGATCGGCCCGGTGGAACGGAGACTTCCAAAATTCAAAATTGCGACTAATATAATGAAAAGAATTCAGAATATTTTCTAAATGATGTACGAGCGAAGTTTTCATACCGTGCTTTGAAATAATATAAGCACGTTCCATTTCGTGCTTGTATAAAAACGTGAATGTGAATGTATCGTATACTTTTCAGACATACCTATATTTTCCCGTTGAGTACATAGAAACAAGAGCGCAGTCTAATCGCTAGTATCCTCGAACTTGTAAGATACTCGATACATGATCACTTTCAATAATTAATAACTCGTAATTTTGCGTGCTGTCTGCAAAATGGTGAAGGACCTTTCTGTTCACATTGACATACACTACGAATATATGACGAACGATCCTTCTTGCGTCGAACATACAGCAGACATCGGTTTGAGCTGCTCTCCAAAATCCCACTCAACTGGCAGAACATCATTTATATATCATTAACCAATCATAATATAAAGAAATCTTTTTTCTTCCCTAATCGATCAATTAGACGCAACTGTTCTCGTCGAGTAAAATTCTGAAACGCAGCTCGGTGCGTCCTCGCTTCGCTTCGTGCACTTGGCCGAGACACTACCTCTAGTCTCTCGATAATTTCGCTTCGTCCAGGTCCCGTATCGTCCGCGGTCGATCACCGCTGCTTCGTCGAACGAACGAACGAAGAAGCTCACACAAGCAACGGCCCCGTCACCGTTCCGGTTGGCTGACTGTGAAAATTGCGCGTCCCGGTTTTCGCGGTTTTTCGCACTCGCCGGACAACCGTCCGGATTAGCTCGGTCGTCGGATATCGACGGCGTCTGAGCGATCCATCAGCCCGGGGCGAGAGCCCACGGGCACATTTCGCTTTCACTCGGCCCTCTCGTGAGCCACGTGCACCGTCGTCCGAGGAACGTGCGTGCATCGTGACCGCATGAGGAGACCGACGGCTTCGAGCGAGCGAGGAAAACGCACGCTGGTATTCGCAAGAGTGCCGTTTCACACCGGCCGGATCAGGAACGGGATATCGGAGCAATCGGTCGCGGCACGGTTGCTAACACGAGTCGATACCGGGTAGTTCTCGCGCGTGAAAGATCTCTCGACGATCCCTCTCGGGGACCCCCGTGGTGCTTCGCCCTCTCCGGCCCTCTCCGACAACCGGCCTCGTCGTGACTCGCCGATGACGTAACGCATAAATACACGCCGCGGGAATCGGTGGTGGTTGCCGCTTCTTCTTCTTCTTCTGCCGCGCTCTTCCGAAGGGGCAGTCTTCAAGGTGCGGTCCTCGAAGGCAGCTCCTTGATCGGCGCGATCGTTATCGCGAGCAAGTGGATGAATCTCGGCTGCCAGGTCCTCGTTGCAATCGAGCCGAGAAGGAGAGGAGAGGCATCGCAGGGGAGGAGGAGGCGCAGTAGATCTCGTAGGCGCCGTCGAGTCCTGCCGTCAGAGCCGCTTTATCCTCCGATCGACTTGGAGGACTGCTCGTGAGGACCAGGAACTCGCTGTTACATCAGGCCGGCGCTTTCGCTCGCGAGATGATGTGGCGGCTGTCGATAGTGATCGCGATGATCGTGACGGCGCGGGCCGGACCGTACGACAGGATGGCGGTCTCGATGAACGATCGGACGCTGTTCATCAGGAGCCTGCCGGGCTATCCTGGGACCAGGAGCGATCTCTACGAGGTCTACATGGAGCCGTATTACTTCGTACGTATGCCTCGGCGGTGCTTCTCCTTCCGATCGATCACCGCGATCGATGGCTTTCCCGATAAGCGGTAACGACGCGAGCGAGGATGAACGACCGAGACGTGCCTGTGTGTTGTGTCGTCGTCCTTGCCGGATTTATTTTACACGCCCACGGGGGAAGAATTTTTCACTGGTACAGCAAATTTCTCGGTTACTACGGCGACAGCGACAAAGATTTGTTCGGACAGCAGAGAGATTTTGTCAAGAGTATCAATGAGCTTTGTATGGACGGCGAAATAATTTGGTTAGGCCGGCTAAATTTAATCGATGTCGTAAGGACGTTTTATTACAACGGGACATTTTTTTCTTCCGTGTGACAAATCTTTCTGCTGTTACCAATTGAGGAATTTGCCGTGTCAATGAAATATTTTTCTTCAAGCACGTGGCGCGCGATTCTGCGACGAGGCGGTTGTTATTATTATTGCCGCGTTGTTGTTATCGAAAACATCGTAGATTCAGTTGACATTGCGATGTAATTATCGTTTTTGGATCGTCCGATTTTACCGCCGAATTAATTCATTTCACCCGCGCGATTTAATCGTCCGATGACCAGGCAGTCAAAGGATGATTAAAGCGCGATTGTAATTGCATCGTCTGAAGGAAAACCATTTTCTACGCAGTTACGTTCTCGCTTCTGGGGTGGGATGAGGGGGGGGGGGCAAAAAACAGGGCGAGCGACGTTCCACAGCTCGAGCGTGATCAAAGTTGCAGTTTGCCTCGCGAAATTCTGCCTTTCGAACGCGCAATTGCCAAACCACTTTCCCATCTCTGTAAACCCGCGTTATTTCGAAACCTGGCGCGAAAAAGATTATGTAACCGTGATCTCGTCAGAGTACGGGAACGTGTTCTGAGTTTTCCAACTCCGAACTTTAAGAAAGCTGAACTCGCACCCGGTATCTCGATAATTGTCAAAATCACTTTATGTCTGCACAGTAAAAAATTGGTGATAATTTAACACAAGATGAATACATTGAAAAGTAGCACAAATATTATGTAAAAATTTAACAAAATTATAATATCTATAATATGTTCATCGACGTTGAAATATAAAATATTACTTTGACATTTACACATGTTGAATATCGACTCAACACAAAATACTGAGATAACATAAACACAATAGGTTAAATTAACACGCATGTTAAATTAACATGAGTGTGTTAGAAATTTTATACAAAAGTTTAATAAGAACTGATTTTAACACAAATTGTTTTCTACCGTGTACGAAATTCGATGGAAATTTAGCTGATGGATATATGTAATTAACGGTGAGTTTCAATGTATTCGGCGGTCAATATTGCGTTTGCAGGCGCACGTTCTCGGAATGCTAAAGGTAATAGTCGTGGCAAACATCATCTTCAAGCGCCATTGAAGCAGCGATCATCTGTCATAGCATCATCGTTTGCGAGGTAGAGTGGATTTATTGCCCTTATCCATACAGCATACCGAGGGAACGGCGATCGCATACTCGTATTTTCCACCGATTACGATAATGAATAGCAACAATATCAATCATCCACATATACGCGATTCAAATGCCGAGTCTTGCGTGATATATTCATATTCATATACACGGAGAAAAAATGCTGTTCAATCAACATAATTTTCAACATCGCGCGTGTAATTGGAGTAAACCTTGATTTGACGAAACCAATAAATACATCGTACATTTACCAGTAACTAAAATATTAGCTTCAATATTACCATTGAAAAGATGATTTACCTCAATTTATTCCAATTTATTCCAATTGCATGCTAATTGTTGGAAATTCTATTGGTTCAACAGAATTGTTTTCATCGTATCAGTTATTATTCCATTACGTACTCTGTGTATACACGTTTAAATTTCTACAGAGGGAATTTCAATCAGCACGAGTCGAAATTTTGGACCTACGTGAAATTTTTAATTCTACGACATAGTAAGAGCTAAGATGACGATATGGATTCGTCTAAATATAATTTACTTCTACCTTCACCACGATAAAATACCTTAAATTGCCGTTTTCTCTTTAGCGTGAAAACAGGTTGTTTTGAATGCCAATATGAATATTTGATACTCGAAATGCCGGGTGCACTTCTAGCCTCAAGGTAATAAAATTCGGTCTGTAGAATTAAAAATTCAAGAAAGACATTAATAAGCATGTGGTATCATCGAAGTGGATTTTTTCCAGTTTATAGGCTGGCTCGAGAATGTCGAGGTAGCGTGAAAATTTCGAGATATTGCTGTTGAGCCGAGAAAATTTATATCAGTTGCACGCGCCGTTGGAAATTCTACCGATCGTTCCTCTCCCATGTATTCATTTATCATCCCACCGCATGCGCGCGTCTCTCTATTTTCAAGAACGTGGCGCGAAATCTCAATCGGCTTCCTCGTGTTCCGCGAGCGAGGCCTCGCTCAGCCTCGTTAGTCTTACGACGATGCGCGTGTATACACCCGTCTCCGTCCCCAGCACTTCGCTTTACGACTCCGTGTAAACATCTCCACGCAATACTTTTCTTCGCCTGGGAGAGATGAGCGCGGCCGATAAACAATCGATCGCGTTCCAGCCGCCGCTCTCGCGCTCGTCTATTATTAGTCATTAACCGCGCGGTCCTCCCGTGCGCGGAAATCTGCATAATTAGCTATTAAGTTATTTAAACATCGCGAAGGACGTCGAGCGGGAACGCGAGATGCGCGCTCTCCGCCACGAGAACGCTTTCACTGCCGAGCCCGTTCGCGCCTATTCGCCTCGCGCGCGATTCTAACCGCGACTTCCCCGCAGCCGACCTTGCGCGCAGTTTCTGCCGCTTCATCGTCGCCGACGTAGATTACAGCCCGGCCGCGACAGTAATTGCAGATTTTACCGGTGAACCTCGCTCGCTGAAAAAACTGGACAACCGTGCGTGAGCAGTCGGCAAATGACAGTGGCAACCGTAATGCAATTCAATAAGCAGGTGGGTTGCGTTGCGGGCATCGGGAGGTACCGTTCGCGTAGCGCAATCGTCATTATCAATTTCCGCTCCTCCGCTTCGCCTCCTCCTGGGACTCAGCGAGCGAGCGCACGCGGCTGCATTTATAGATTATAATCGAGCAGTAATAAATTGCTTCCGTGGACACTGGGCAGAGCGGATTTTCGTTCGCTGCGCGCAACTACGGCGTCCGACGTCGAGAGATCGCGGACGGGCGAATCCTTGCTCCGCAGGTGCGCGGAACCGTGAACTCTGAAACTTCCTGTGCATTTATATTCACGTCCTCGAGGCCGTCCACTCGTGTTTCCAATGAAAAAAAAAGCGAAAAAATCTCGCATAGTTAACATGTCGAGTGTCACGCCCATTCTCAAGAATTGCTCCGAAACTTAGCTGAGTTTGATTAATTACAATTTACGGTGAATACATCTTCCAACGCGTATGTTCATTAGCTGTTAGGTTCACTGAAAAAATGCTACATTCAAGTAAATATTTGCTAAAGAGTATCGGAGTAATTATTTGATTTGGCTCGGGTAAATATAATTTGAATGCTTTTTTCCTTTTGATGTGTTACATTCAAGCAATATTTCCTTAATCCGAATAAAATAATTATTCCAATATACCTTACAGTGGGAAAAAGAAATTGAAATAGTGCGAAGTAAATGTGACATTTCCTTCGATATGTATTGATTAGAGAAAAATTTGACTATGATGACGCAATATATATTTTTGTGAAATATGTCTAAGTTTTCCTATTAATCGGCTTATTTGCGAGGAATAAACTTTTACTTTGCCGTATTTAAATAAACGTTTATTTCTAAGAAATAAACCTTATTCCCTTCAACGAAGACGCGTTTCGGTTCGTCATGTTAATTCAACCAATCTCTTATCTCCGTGCTCGAAGTTAGGTAATGTCATTTGCCATTCAATCTGACGGACACGACGAACCTTTCACGCCGGCCTAACAGTTTCATCGGTTCCTTCTCTCTTGGAGACGCGTCTGATTCGTCAGGTGCAACTACTCGTGACTCATGCGAATTGATAAACGAAATCGCAGCGAAATGATTACGCGACCGCCGTGTGACAATCGACGCGCGTTAATCATTCCCGTCAGAGTATCAATTTGCGAAAGTACACACGCGCAGACCGACGGGAATCGTCTTTTCATCGTTTGATTACATCACGAGCGTCCCGCTCTCGTATCGTTCGACGATGGCGTGTAAACGTGACTTTCCTTCGAAATACGCAGGCGGTCGGCTTGAAGGCCGTGGTGGAACTGAAAGCTCTCGGTGATGACGGCTCACCGGTGGATGGACCCCGAGGGATCCTAACCCTGGAGCAACATCCCGAGGGGGTCAGGGTCACAGGTACGATCTCGGGCTTGAGCCCGGGCTTGCACGGCTTCCACGTGCACGAGAAGGGGGATTTGACGAAAGGCTGCAATTCGGCCGGGCCGCATTTCAACCCGTACATGGTAACGCAACACATTCTCACAATGTTATCCTATTATCCTTACGTACGTCGGAACCGGTTACGAGACACCCGACGTCATCGTGTGAATAGAAATCTTTTACGATCGGTCTTAAGAAAAAGGAATTATTTTTTGTCGATCGTCTTTCGAAGAAAAGTCTTCTAAAACGTTACGAAACGTCATATCTTGTAAGATTGTAATTAATAATTTAGTCTATTTTGATTTCTTTTTTCCGTTCCTAAGAGAATTTTTTTTTTTTTTTAATATATTATCAATCTTTTTTAAAAGAAAATCCTTCTTCTAAAACATTACAAAACGTTATATCCTGTCATGTTATAATTGGTAATTTAGTCTATTTTGTATTTTCCTTTTTTCTCCTTAAAAGTTTTCGCCCATAAAATAAATAATTAAATAAAAATTACGTATTATTATATAAAAAGATTTTACATTATAGAGTCCGTCCTTGTTACGTCGACGCGTCAATTAATTTAGCGGGAGTCCGAATCTCAAAAAAATACCGAAAGTATTCCCGCAACAACGCTGAATGGATAACAAGATATCTTTTCTTTTTACTTTTTTTGCACACTGCGAAAAACATTTCCCGCGCCTCGGCGTTTCGCCTCGGATTTCTTCGCGGCACTCGCGGTTATCGCACTCGCGATCCTGCGGCGACGGCCGAAGATTTGCATTTGCAAATGAAGGCTTCACCTAGTAACAGCGATTTAACCCGTTCCCCTTGTCTTTTTTCCTTCCCTTCAAGAACCTGGAGAAATTAATCCGAAGGAGTCGAGGGGTCTCGCGAGGGGAGATTAGATTTACATTAATCGACTAGGATTCATGAAAAAGTGAGTTATGAATTCGCTCCTCGCGATCCCCCCCCCCTCCCTACTCTTCCTCTCGCCGATTACGTTACGACCCCTCCTCGCGTCGCGTTACGGTAAAACGGCAGGAGCGGTGTCGGTTCCAGGTGAATCACGGAGCGCCCAGCGATCCGTTGCGTCACGTCGGGGATCTCGGCAACATCGAGGTCGGGCAGGACGGCACGGTGCGTATAGACGGCTTCGATCACTATCTGAGTCTGGTGGGTGTCCGAGGTGCGATCGGCCGGGCCCTGGTGGTCCACGAGAAACCTGACGACCTCGGCCGCGGCGGGACCGAGGAGAGCACGAAGACCGGATCGGCCGGCGCCCGCCTCGCCTGCGGTGTCATCGGGTTCTTGTAATGGGATTTGCATACTGCGAATTCGGCTGCCGCACGCTGAAAGCCGAAAGCTGCGAATCCGCGTAAAAGCGCGTATTTGCGCTGCGCAAATGGCGCTCGACGGTAAGCGCGTTTAACGGACGGCAGGAGGCTCCTTGGTAAAAATGGGGACGATCCTCTTGCTCGGGAAGTTCGGTCGACCTTCTCTCACTCTTTCCGCGGTTCCCGGAACATTTGAGTGAATCTATTTTATCCGTGGTTTTCTTTAGTTTCTTCCCGCGAAGAAATCGTTTCTTCATTCTTTCGACGGATTTTTTCGGCTTCTTTTCGCGGAAGAATTGACAAAGAAGAAACACATTTTATTCAAGACTATAGGTGAATTATGTTGCGAATTTCGAATGCCGCTTCAGTCGGAAAGTCCTATAGTTTTAAAGTTGAATGAATGTGTACATTAAAACTGGAGAAAATCTAAACGGAGACGTTTCTCCCCACTGAGAAATCTGATCAACCACCGCGTTTGTTTAGTTTCAAACACGTTCGAGTTAATTACTTCGAAAATTGGATACCTGAGGTTGGAGAATTTATTGGAACAGAGAAAGAGAGAGAGAGAGGAAGAGAGAGAGATCACTTGAGGCTATTTCAAGAGCAAGATTTCGTTATCGACTCGCATTCCTAAAGTGCGTGCGGTTCGCTGAAGTTCTCTCCCTCTCTTCTTGATTCGCGAACGTGCAGCAGAAGAGAACTGTTTAATATTAGGTAATGTTCAGATGAATTCGCGCACACCGTCGGCTTTTAGAGTGCAGCGGTGCGCATTAGCGCGCATTCGCAACCGAATTCGCTAATAGAGAGATGTTGTACGCTGTAATTCCGTCCACTACTAATTTAATTGCGTCCATTTGTACCGATCAATAAATCACGACTGTAATCAAGCACGTTTCAAACGCCTTTCCACGCACTCTTTTACTGGATTAATCCTTGATTTTTCATAGACATCGTGAAAATGAGAGAGAATGACTGGAATTTATAATGTAGAAAATCGATTATTAATTAATCCCTTTCTCGGGTGTCTCACTAATATCGAAACGATAGCAGCACGGCACGATATCACACGGTAATTAAATAATTAATTAATGAGATAAATAACAATATATCGAGAGATGTATGATACTATTTTTATACGTATTTTATTAAAAACTCTCGAAACAAATCAATATATGCTATAATGCACGTATAATTTCGGGAAAAATCGTGTACGAAGGAAACGGCGATAATTCCCGTCCCCGTAGCGTGAAGAACCAGAACGGTGATTTGAAATTCAACTAAATCCCCCCTCGTCGCGCGATACGTGACTGCGTCGAATTCGCCAGCGCGGCGAAATACGAATCATCGGAAATGCGACCATTACTCGTATCAATGTATCGAGAATTTAACAAAATTTCAATAGGGAGATCTAATTCGGCGATCTGATCCAGTTTCCCATAACGAGATTTTATTATAATGTCTCGCTGATGCGTTTTCCGATGAGGCAAGTTCGACAATGCGCGAACGGTGGTTTCCGATAAAGTCGAAAGAAAAAAAAAAAAATACGAAAGAAGGAAATCCAAATTGCAAATCTTCTCGACGGCGCATCACGCGCATCGGTTGATTTCTGCGCACGCACACACAGACCGCAAAAGTAAGTGTACATTGAGTGAACGAGCAACGGACGAACAGCGAATGTGTAACATGGGCCACGTTCCAATATTTACTGCCAGTGCTGAAAATCTATAGTGTACGTAGCATAAATTAATGATTTTCAACGCTGGTAGTGAATTTTGGGACACAGCCATGAATGTGTACAATCGCGTTAAACGCGCGCGCACTTTCTTCGACGAGCCACCTTATGAGCAAATCGGCCCGGAATATTCTACTTGGATTCGTCATATGAACATATTATTCAAACCATAACAACGAAAGTTCGCTCGCTCGCTCAATATATACATAAAAAAAAATTAGTCTCAAATCCATGATAAGTATTCTCATATATAATTAAGAATCTTCTTAGAAGACTTTTAGTCTTGATTTGATTGAATTTGTACTAACGCAAGTATTGCTTGCGCTCAATTCAAGACTAAAAATTAAAAAAAAAATCTTCTAAGAATATTATAATATTCTTGTATTTATATATGAGAATATCGTTGGTTTAAGACTATTTCTTTTTTGTGCAGTCAATCGCGAAAAAGCTGCGACGAGTTTTGCAACGCACCTAGTAGGGAAACGTATCTCCTGAGAATTGCTGAAAAGCAAGTTCCCAAAATACTGGATATATTTCGAAACTTATAAAAGTGTTACGTGCACCGGAAAAAGGCTTAAATTAATGATAGATATTCACATAAAATACGTAAGCAAGAATATTATAATATTCATGCTTATATACAGGAATATCTATTCTAGATTTAAGACAAATTTTTTTTCTGCGTGTATCGCAACCTTTCTTGCGACTGACCGTGTACACCCAGTTTCACACATAACGTAGAGCGCGACAGGATGATTGACGGGGGATGCAGGAGGAAGACTGAGAGAAAGATGTCGAGGACACGGACGCTCCACTCGAGCAGATCAGCAGCCGCCCCCGTCGTCAAGGCCGACTCAAGGCGGCAGTCGTCAATTCCGGGCTCGCCGAAGAAGAGGCGGCGAGTCTCTCTTGTTCCCCGCAATCCGTGCTCGCGGGCGGCGCGCTGCGAAGCAAGTACTCCAGGAGCACGATGATTTCGGTGGGCACTGGCTCGCCCATCTCCTCCAGAGCGCGTAGCGCCTTCATCAGCACCTCCGGCGGCGAGGTGCGCTTCGCTCCGGGCGCGTTCGGCCGGTGCTGGAGATCGCCCTGGCGCGGTTGCCACGACATCCTGGAGCTGCGCAGCTGCAGGTTCGCTGCGGCGGGACGGACGTTGAACCATTTTCAGCACTCTGTGTCTCCGGCGCGCAACGCCGATATCGATTCCTCGAAGCGGGCCCTTGTGAGCCGCGGTAAACTCGGTCAACTCGCCGGCGATTCCTCATTACGCAGCGATGTTGCAGCGATGAGTAATCGCGCGAGCGTCAAGTGTCTCTCTCGGCGCGTTCGCCTTCGCAACGTAGCCGCGAAATCGCGGCGCACTCCGCTTCATCTCAGGAACGACCTATCTCTCCGACTTATCTCGGGGATTACTCGGGAGCTTTTCGCGCGACCGCTTTCTCGACCGTTGATCATATAATGAATCGAAGCTGTGATGTAAATACAAAATATGTCAGGCAACCAAGAGTCTGATGTCGATATATGAACACATATCGGCGTCAGACTATTGCTTGCCTGTATCTTGACATTTTTTTGCATCTAGGATTTTCTCGAGTTCGCTCGGACGTTGGTTCTCGCGACTTAACCCTCCGAGTGGCAACCAGGGTCATTTGTGTCCGGGCTATTGTAAAAAGTGCTCGTTTCTCAAAATAAATTCCCTCGAAATAAAATATTTAGCGATTTATTGTTGACAAAACAATTATGTGGTCTTCAAGTAGAAGGGTAGGGGAAATTTCGATCATTTTTGGAGATTTTCCCGAACAATTAGAGGCGAAGAAACCAAGGAAGACAGAAATGACCCTGGTTGCCAATCCGAAGGTAGTGAAAAATATGTTGCCACTAGGAAGGTTAATCGTGCGAAAACGAGAGACCAAACTAAGCACTTTGCGCGCTCCGGCCACCCTCCGCTTTCGGGCAAGTCTCACGTAATACTGAGTTGCGCTCGGTAACACGCAGAGAGAGAGAGAGAGAGAGGACCGTGGTCGTTGCATTACCGGCAACGTCCTCATCGTCTTCCTCGTAACCCGATATGTCATCCGAACCCTCCGCCTCGAGGTTACCACGGCCGCATCTGAAGATGAATCGTACGCAACTGACGACCAGCCTCTTCGATGATCTCCACATAGTCACACGCGAACATTTTGAGAAGGATCGTCGTGACGTGACGGACGTGTGGGTCACATTGTCATGACGGTCGGCCTCGCCTCGCAGAATCCTGTCACGTAAGCGCTGGCAGAACTGCGGTCGAACGGACGCACGAACGGTAGAATGCGCGCAGCACTACGCTGAAGTTCGCCACGAACGCGATCACCAAGATCGGAGAACGGCCATGTTTTAATCACTATTGCATCTTTGTGCCCCTCGACATTTTTCATCCGTTCTTTTTAGCTGAGAACTGGCAGCACTAATTCAAGAATTTTACACACATAACGATACGAACGAAGATCCTCACGCTTCGGTGTGGTTAGATTTTTTGAACTGTGCAACTAGTTCAAAACTAGTTCAGCTGAAAAGAAGACTACTTATCTCTTTTTTCTTGTTCGTTCGGAAAGGTCTCGCGCGCACCGAGATACTCGAATTGCAGAAGAACCATTGTTTAATCGGGCATTCGTCTTACAATAGCGTCGCTACGAAATACTTATCATTTGTACTAACACTTCGGTACGATCGGTATGTAGAGAGATTACAGATTACGATTCAACGCCGCATCCAGGCGTTGAATCATAATCTGTAATCTCGCTCTTTTCGTGAGAAGTCGCAATTGATATTTATATCGATATTAATCACATCGTTTACATTTACAGTTGGCCAAGTTCAATTCGACACTAATCGCATCCTGAGGGAAGAAAACTCAGCAGTGACGCATCGGAAAACGACAGCGGCATACGAATTATTTAACGAAGTCTGATTTAATTAATTTATAAATATCTCTACTAATGTTTTTCCCCTTCTTCTATTTAGAACGCACACTAAAACCAGACGAACGATAACACAAGATTAAAAATACCGGAATGCCTTGATCGACAGACGTTAAGTTTCGACCACTGTGAGAAAAACGGACGTCGACGTCGTATCCTTGAAATTTACATCGCCAAGGCCGGGCTACCAAAGTCTTCGTTACCCGAACAATCTCTTGTAATTACGTTATTAAATTAGCGGAATATGAATTGTCCCATTGAATGTAGAAAAATTTGTATATTGAAGATTTGCAGAGTGTGTACAACTAGAGGGTCACTATCGCCTACCCCGCCCTCTACCACGGCCGCCCCTGCCGCCCCTGCCGCCTCTAGCACCACGTCCTCGGCCACGGGCAGCTCCTGTGGATAAATATTGCAATTGACGATTAAAAGGATATTCTTTTAAATCTCTATTCGGTTTTACGAGTCAATATATTATCTCGCTGTACACACCTCTTGCTGCTTCCTTCTTCTTAGCCTTAGCTTTTGGTGTGTCGTCTATCAGCAGTGTTTCCAAGGGAAGGGAGTCAGGCAGGATGTAATACCTTATGTTGTTTCCTCGTAAACTCAGAGTCTCTAATTGTACCGGATCTCGGTTCTTTATTGTCATTTTCACTGTTTTTAAATGTGTGTTCATCGCCACATCCACACCTGTGATAAAGTAACAAAATGTAAACAAATATTGCTTCTTATTTAAATAATGTTAATAACTATTGCTTCATATCTAAATAATGTAAACAACCATTGCTTCTTATCTAAATAATGTAAATAACTATTGCTTCTTATCTATTAACAACATATATGTTCAAAAAAATCTCAGATATCCTTCAGATATTTTAATGTTCTTCAAATAATTATATATAATCAGTTGTAATCTTTGGTAAATCTTACAATCCACCTTCCTTCATGTGTGACAAGCACTAATTGTAATGTAATTAGTATTGTTTATACATCACACGTAAGGAACTTTATCTTGAGAGATTAAGAAATTAAACTAAATGTACCTGTAATCGTGCCGTTGACTTGAGTACCATTTTTCAGTTCTATCGTCACGGTTTCGTGACTGAGTTTCATCAAAAATCTGTAAGTGAGAAATATAAGTTCGTTGAGAAATAATATCTCTGAAAGCGAATTATCAACGCGCCTTTTCCGAATTAGGTTATGTCACGCAAGAGCGTCATTTGAATTCTCACAAATAAATCGTTATATATAAAACTGTAATCATCCTTTAATAATTCCTTGAATTTAACAGCTTTTAAATACTTTTTACGTACCTCACTAGCTTCATGATGAGACTGAAGTTATTATTTAATAATAATTAACTCACAATACCGGCGAATCACATTACCCAATGCTAGAGTTCTATATATAAATAGGCAAACGCAATGGGAAAAGTCACTTGTGATTGGTTGTTTGAATCACATGACCTAGACCCCATTTTCTTTAAGATCGCACCATACTGTATTTTTCGTGCTAAATCTAGTAATATCTAGTAACATACATATCTAGTAAAAACGCGCCAATCAGAGCATGGTATTCTAGTATGTTATTAGATATCACTAATTCAGCACGAAACAAGCATTGTGTGCCGCTGGCTTTAGTTCCAAAGTCTCCGTTACGAGACGCCACTTCTTTAACGATGTAACGTTCGGACGTATTTTGGAACATTAATAATATATTAGTACAGATCGAAGGCCGACTTGTCTGATTTCAGACATCACTAGGTTAGATATTCACTAGGTATAGATATTTTATCCCTATATTACTAGACGTAAGTACGTGTGCATATGTATATTCGCGCACGTTAAATATTATAATTGAAATTATAACGCCAAATACTGCGTGTCGTTAGAGAGTCTTAAAATCGATAGATCAACCATAGACAAGAGAAACCGTAATCTCAATGCGATGAGGCATCCCGCTGCTAACATAAATAGGAGCATGAAAACTGAATCCAAACACCACTCAGGACCGACACGGCGATATCGACGCGGTGACATCATACCGATGGAATGAATTTCTTCCATCTCCACGACTCCATCAGCCAACCAGAAGACGACTCTCAGCGACAAAGCGACATATAAAAACGTGCTCATTTGTTGAGAAGGCGATTTTTTTTTTCTCGTAACTAGCCTTTGGTACTTGTGTACTTATATACTTTAGAATATATTAGTCATAAAATCCGACCGTGTAGCAATTATTTTTGTCTACCCCCCAATTCTCAAAAGTTGCGAAATCGAAATTGGAATCGCGGACCGCATCATCCCGCGCAGTGCCGGAACATCCGAGACCGAGGCAGGAGAACGAGCGGCTCTGATTTCTCACCAGATTCATCGATCGTTTTGCCATACTCCGGAGACCCAGGATAAACTCGGTGAAAAGCAGAGTGACCCAAAAGCGGAGTCATCACTCTGTTGACGTCTACTTAAGTCACTGATTTTACTACTTTCAAATTTCCCTATATAGTTATCTATCGTGGACGTAACATCGAAGAATTGGCCGCGTTCAGCAGAACGTTTATTTTAAAGCTATTAGAAGTTTTCAATGCTGAGATTGGATTATTCTTCTATATCTACAAAAATAATCCATTTCAGAAGATGTCTAATAGTTGTAAAATATATGTTCTGTTGAATGTGACTTTTGAGATCATGGTACGGCTAAACAATAGAGTCAGCCATACTTCCACTATCCAAGTAGTATTGCTCAAGGGCGGATCGGACTTCGTTTTATTCCATTTTGAGAAATAGACAAAACTCAACTGACTGTAACCTCGGTAGGAGTAATGATATCAACATCTTTCGGAAAGTATTTTAAAGATTGAAGTCTCTAGTTTTCATTGTTATTAACATCATATTTTTGCCGTCGTTTTTCAACAAGTTATATCGAATTAAACGAAAAGTTACCGCTCAATATTTTCAATTTTATATTTCAGTTGAATTTATCAAAGAATTTTTAAAAAAATTTGATAAATACATTTTTAAGAAGGAACTCTCCAACAAGTTTTTTACTTGTGCTCTGACAATTTTTTTTCAATTTCTTCAACTTCATTTAATAAAAGATGTCATCAATGAATATGTTCTCTTAAAAATATAGAGAAACAATTTTTAAAATTAAAAAGTGTAACGAATTTTTTTTATTGATATATTTTATCGATATTGATATATAAATTTATTTTTTATTTGTTATTAATGTTTGAGTTTTGATATTTAGGACATGGTCCGAATAGCAGTATCTTTTATGCATTTCTCATTAATTCCTGCATTTACTTATACCTAATGTAGAAACGGCACTCTGCTCTTCTTATACTTATGTTGTGTTACCAGACGATAGATTGAGTGACCTTGTGTTTCCTTGTATTATTGAGTTTAACAAACATTTGTGTTTACAATATGTAATTATTACAAACATTAACTACAATTCTGTT